TATCAAATTACTGTTGTTAGATCTTTCAAAGTCCACATCAAAGAAAGTCTGTTGCACCCTTCGCATGCATCAATAATGAGACTCGAAAGCATAGCTTCTGCTAGAGCGCATCACCGTCCCCAAACTCTTAACTTCATTTTTGCATTCATTCCTTCCTTCTCCGATATAACTTCCCTGTCTCCATAGCTCATCGGATCATTGCTTCGTCTTCTTTTTCTACTGATTTTTTTCTTGTTCTACCACCTAACTCGAGACGCACCTTTTTCGTTACGATTCAGCCATCTGGGCTGTTATTCCCAAAATGGCTGTTGCTTCAAGCCTGGGGTTCCACTTTTGCTTCAACCCTCACTAGGATTTTGTTCAAGGCTTGTATCTTATTATTTCTCTCTTTTTTCGAACCGGATGTACCGCCATCTCCCAAATGATCTATACCTAGGCTTGTCAGCGTGCTTTGTGTTTGAACAACTCAGCGCTCATTTTTGTGATGCTACTCGACCAACTCGAAATCCCGTAACCGTTTGATGCAAACCAGAAATTGGTACTCGTTCACCTCTGCAGAAGACCAAAGAACGCTACCTTCATCCCAAGACATCAAATTTGGTGCTGAGCACTGCTTCAGTGCTCCAGTGTGTCCAATATGTTCCTCGAAATGAAATTTTGACACAATTCCCCTTCATTTCACAGATTCCCTCATATTAAAAGTTTATCTCTCTGCTCTCCGTTTATATTCACATCTAACTCAAATTCGACTTTTTATTATGGTTAAATTACAAAGCTGATGCTTATTTATTCCCATAGGGTCTGTACACACTGGTTTCGGTTGGTAGTACAAAGTAATAGCAAATTCTGACATTCACTCACGGGTACTGAAAAGTAATGCGGTTCAATGCTTCTTCATCCAGTCGTAACTTGAATGATACGACGGTTGGTGCACCAACAACTTGAGGTAGAAGGGAGTTCCAGGTGTTACAAACTATGAGGCTGAAAGAATGACACCTGTAGTCGAGCCGGCTCTTTTGGAGCAGAAGTTTGAACGGATGTCCTCGGTAACCATTCCTGGATAGTATCACTAGAGCACTACACGGGTGGTTTGGTTGATGTAGTATTTGGTGAACGAGGATCATGTCTCTCCGTATTCGACGTTATTCAGACCAACAGAGTCCGAGAATTCGCAGTCTTTCACCTTTGACCATTTTGGTTGCTGTTCTCGGACGTTCAAGTGCCTTTTGGTCGCGAATCAGCCATGGATTCCAAGCCTGTGTAGAATACTCGGTATGTGGTCTAATGTATGCTGATAATAAACGGGGCAATAGGTCTGTTTCGAATGATCCAAAAATACGTTTTAGCAATCCAGCGTGTTTTATAGCTTTTGAAGACGCTCTTGCGCAATGTGTGGAACATNGCGGCAATGGCTGAGTTCCAAGTAAGTATCGAAAGCGACCCTTATGGCGCAGCAATACAACCTTGCATTTTTTCAACGTTGAATTTGATGTCATTAATGATGGACCATCGGTAAGCTGCGTCGAGAGTTTCCTGCAAGGTTTCACAATCTTCAGGCTATTTTACCGTCCTGCATGTTTTGGCGTCATCAGCGAAAAATAATGCCTTTTCTCCAAGGGTAACTGGTAGGTCGTTATTGATTGCTAAGAAAAGGTACGGACCGAGTACGGGTCCTTGTTGAACT